TCACAGTGTCCCAGGGTCATGTGAAGGGACCAAAACCTGCTGCAACCACCCAGCAGCCGGGGGAATAAAAACCAAACACCCCCCCACCCCACCCCCGCTGCCAATCCTCAACAGAAATGCTCACAACAATGGAAACCTCGGACAGGAGGAAGAGCGCGGCCAGGTGGGCAGGCAGGTGTCTTGCTCAGCTGTGGCTTGGGGGGCACTTTTTTCAGGGCCATTGTAACTTCGAACAGTCACTAAGTGAACTGTTGTAAGTCGAGGACTAGCTGTACTTCATCACTTTTCCTTTTTGGGGGGGGGGGGTCATCAGGTTTTTGACACTTTGCTAGGCGACTGGTGGTACTCGGATGTTGCCATATCCTAAAAGTGGTACAATGGGTGAAAAGATTGAAAAGCCCTGGTCTAGGCGAGGGGTAGGCAACCTTGCCTCTTTTATGACTTGTGGACTTCAACTCCCAGAATTCCTGGCTAGCCATGCTGAGGGGAAAGGGAGAGGGTTTCCAAGCTGAACCATGCTGGCTCAGGAATTCTGGGAGTTGAAGTCCACCAGTCATGAAGGGCCCATATAGTTCCCCCATGCTGGCTGAGGAATTCTGGGAGTTGAAGTCTGTAAGTCATGAAGGAGCCAAAGTTCTCGTCGTGCTGGCTCAGGAATTCTGGGAGTTGAAGTCCACCAGTCACGAAGGGGCCATAGTTCCCCCATGCTGGCTGAGGAATTCTGGGAGTTGAAGTCCACCAGTCACGAAGGGGCCATAGTTCCCCCATGCTGGCTGAGGAATTCTGGGAGTTGAAGTCCACCAGTCACGAAGGGGCCATAGTTCCCCCATGCTGGCTCAGGAATTCTGGGAGTTGAAGTCCACGAGTCATGAAGGGGCCATAGTTCCCCCATGCTGGCTGAGGAATTCTGGGAGTTGAAGTCCACCAGTCATATCTATACCATATCGGACGAATGGCTGTCCAGCCTCTCCTTAAAGGCCTCGATCTTATTCTACCCAGGAGACCCCTCAAAAGCCCCCCTGGGCCTTGGAGACCCCAGCCCCTGTTCCTTCTCTGAAGCAGAAGGCTGAGCGTCAATCAGCCATGGCGGGCTCAGCCATGCCCAAGATCAGGCGATTCCCCTGGGAATCTGCCCTCCAGCCAATCAAGGAGGGGGTGGGAAAAACATAAGTGCAGCCTCCCCCCACCCCCCAGTGGGGAAAGAAGCACAAGCTCCAGCAGGCTGAGGAGGGCTTGCTGCAGGGAGAAGCCCTGCCAGGCCAGAAGGCGGAACAGGAAGGGCAGGTTTCCAGGCCCCACCCGTCCTGGGGAGGCATCTTAGAAGAACAGGGCGACTGCACCCCCCACCCCCCCAGGGCTTTCAAATGGCTCTCCCGGCTCCCAGCCAAGCTTGCAGCGATGAGAATTAAAGCTAAATATAGAACCCAGGGCTGGGAGAGTCCATGTCAGCCAACATGTCTCCCTGCTTGATTCAGTGCGCAAATTCGAAATGAAAACATCCCCCAGGTTGATGGCCCTCCAACCGATGTTTCGTCACATTTTTGCTAGTCTAAAATGGTCTAGGGTCAGGGGTAGGCAACCTGGGCTCTTTTATGACTGGTGGACTTCAACTCCCAGAATTCCTCAGCCAGCCGCGCTGAGGGGAAAGGGAGAGGTTTCCAAGCTGAGCCAGGCTGGCTCAGGAATTCTGGGAGTTGAAGTCCGCAAGTCATGAAGGGGCCATAGTTTCCCCCATGCTGGCTGAGGAATTCTGGGAGTTGAAGTCCACCAGTCATAAAAGAGCCAAGGTTGCCTACCCCTGGCCTAGACCATTTTAGAGGCTTTTAAGGAAAGACTGGATGGTCACTTGCCTGGAATGGCATAGGCCAGGGGTAGGCAACCTTGGCTCTTTTATGACTCGTGGACTTCAACTCCCAGAATTCCTGAGCCAGCCATGCTGAGGTTTCCAAGCTGAGCCATGCTGCCTCAGGAATTCTGGGAGTTGAAGTCCACGAGTCATAAAAGAGCCAAAGTTGCAGACCCCTGGCCTAGGAAGCAGAGTATCCATAGCTCGGTTCTTTGCTGCACAGGCCTTCCGGCAGAAGACGCCATTTCTCAGGGGTGGGGAACCTGGGCTCTTTTATGACTCGTGGACTTCAACTCCCAGAATTCCTGGGCCAGTCATGCTGAGGGAAAAGGGAGAGGTTTCCAAGCTGAGCCATGCTAGCTCAGGAATTCTGGAGTCCACGAGTCATGAAGGGGCCAAGGTTCCCTATCCCTGGTATAGGGTTTCCTACCTGAGCAGCGGGTTGGAGTAGATAGCCTCTAAGGTCCCTTCCAACAACAACAACAACAACAACATCAACAACACCATTATCATTATCATTATTACATCCTGTAAAAAGGAAATGAAAACCTCCTTTGCTCATCGGTTCCACAGCTGAGCTGCTCTTAGGGAGCAGTTGCGGCCCTTTTCCTCTTTCCTGCCCTCCAGAGCCCTCGAACCTCCACTTTGCAAGGCCCTTTCCAGGGTCCCAGTCAGTCTCCCCCTTGCAAGTCTTTCCTTTCTGCAAGCATTTATCCTACCTATCACTGATGATGTTACCTAGTTGGGTCATGAAATGTCTGCAAAAAAACAACCCAGTTCAGGGACCACCAAGGAGCTCACAGTGGTCCTCCTCCTCCTCTTCTCCTTCCTCCACTCTGCAAACCCCCCCTCCCTTCCAGCACTGATGATGTTCCCTAGTTGGGTCACGAAACGTCTGCAAGAAAACCACCCAGCTCAGAGAGCACCAAGGACCCCACAGTCCTCCTCCTCCTCCTCCCCCCCCAAACTCCACTCCCTCCTAGCATTGACAATGTCACCTAGTTGGGCCATGTAATGTCTGCAAGAAAACAAGCCACTTCAGAGAGCACCAAGGAGCTCACAGTCGTCATCCTCCTCCTCCTCCTTCCTCCACTCTGCAAACCCCCCTCCCTCCCAGCACTGATGAAACCAGCACTTGGTTTCATGCTTTTGTGTAAGTCAGCACAACCCTGCAGGAAAAGAGTTGCTAAAGTTGTAAACACGATGAGAAACTGTACCGCAAAAATATGGAATTTGGTATTTTATGAAGGACTTTGGCTCTTCTTAAGCTGGGGATCAGTGAAGAGGATGGTCCTCCAAATATCAAGAGGGAGGAACGCCACAATGTAAAAAAGATGTTGAGACTCTAGAAAGAGTACAGAGAAGAGCGACAAAGATGATTAGAGGACTTGGAGGCTAAAACACGTAAGGAACGGTTGCTGGAATTGGGTATGTCTAGTTTAACGAAGAGAAGGACAAGGGGGGACATGATAGCAGCCTTCAAGTATCTCAGGGGCTGCCCCAAAGAAGAGGGAGTCAAGCTCTTCTCCAAAGCCCCTGAAGGCAGGACAAGAAGCAACAGGTGGAAACTCATCAAGGAGAGAAGCAACCTGGAACTAAGGAGAAACTTCCTGACAGAACAATTAACCAGTGGAACAACCTGACTCCAGAACTTGTGAATGCTCCTACAGTGGTGATTTTTAAAAAGAGATCGAACAACCATTTGTCTGAAATGGAATAGGGTCTCCTGCCTGAGCAGAGGGCTGGACTAGAAGACCTCCAAGGTCCCTTCCAACTCTGTCATTCTTTTATACTGTTATTCAGTCATCAAAGGGGGATTTCAAAAGATGGCGATGCTGGCTGGAGAGTTGAAGTCCACAAGCCTTAATGTTGCCAGATGGGGCAATTTGTGGAAGTCGTGGGGATCCGTGGCTCTTAGCCTGGAGGGCGATGTGTGTGTGTGTGTGTGTGTGTCTGAAGGCATCTGCTGGGAGACCAATTAGTCCACCCCTCTTTGGAAGACACCCCAGTTGGTAAACAGCACCCCATCTTGTGCCAGTGAACCCCAAAGCTTCACACCCCAGTTGGTAAACAGCACCCCCATCTTGTGCCAGTGATCCCCAAAGCTTCAGAGGAGAACCTGTGGTTATTTTTCAAGCTGCTCTGTTCATATTTTGCAGAGAAAAGAAACTTTGGGCGGGAAATCCTGAGCTCCGAAATAAATCCGCATTTTCTCCCGGGGCCTGGCCTGGTTCTTGCGTGCCCCTCGAATGCTCTCCCAGGCTAGGGCAGGGGGCAGTTTGGACGGAAGGAGCAGCTGCACTACAACTTCCTCAAAGGGAACGTGGCAGGACGGAAGAGGATTGTCCGGCGGCTTAGAGAGGTCAACATTTTCCATGCTGAGACCAGAGCAGGCCAGGCCGGGCTGAGCATGGCTTAGAACAGTGTTTCTCAACCTTGACCATTTTAAGGCATGTGGACTTCAACTCCCAGAATTCCACAGCCAGCATTGCTGGCTGTGGAATTCTGGGAGTTGAAGTCCACATGCCTTAAAATGGTCAAGGTTGAGAAACACTGGCTTAGAAAATGCAGGTTGTCCTCAACGTATGACCACAATTGAGCCCCGAACTTATGCCGCTAAGTGAGACATTTATTAAGCGAGTTTTGTCCCTTTCTTGCCACCGTTGTTAAGTGAATCGCTGCGGTTGTTAAATTGGTCACCCGGTCGTTAAGCGAATCGGGCTTCCCTCCCCATTGATTCTGCTGGTCAGAGGGACGCAAAAGGGGATCACGTGACCCCCAAGGCGCTGCGATCGTCGTAAACACGAGTCGGTCGCCAAGCGTCTGAATTTTGATCACGTGACCACGGGGGACGCTGCCACGGTCGTAAGTGTGAAAAATGGTTACAAGTCACTCTTTTCAGTGCCGTTGTAACTTCGAACGGTCACTAAACAAACCATTGTAAGTCGAGGATTGCCTGTGGTGGGGGTGGGGGTAGGGGGCTTCACCAGGGCTGCAAGGCTGTTCCACTGGTCCCAGAGGGGCACCGGACTCAGCTGGCCACAAGCCCCCATCCGACCAGGATCACCCGAAACAGGGTTACCCAGGGGGCCAGCAGGGGAGGGGACAGCCAGGGGGCTGCCAGAGCAGGGCCAGGGGCCCCCCAACCGCTCACCTCATCGCTCTCCTCCACGTCCACGTTGCCGTTTGCGTCGTCGTCCATCTGCTTGTGGATGTTGCGGACGGCTTCAAAGCTGAGCTGCTCGTCCTCATTGCGGCACAGCGGACGGTCAATGCGGCAGAACTCTGCGGGGGGGGAGAAAGGGGGGGAGAGTGAGAAACGCCCGGGAAAAAGGTCAGGGGAGGGGAATCCCCCAAATCCAGGCCCGAGCACTTGCATTTTTAACAGTATTTTATTTCTGTACAGGTAGTACTCCAGTTACGGCCACAACTGAGCCCCAAAGGTATTGTGGCTAAGTGAGACATTTGATACGCAGGTTTTGGCCCCGTTTTATGACCTTCCTTAAGCGAATCGCCACGGTTCAGTCAGTAACCTGCTTGTTCAGCAAATATGGCTTCCCCACTGACTTTGCTCGTCAGAGGTTTGCGGAAGGGGATGACGTGACCTCGGGACACCGCAACCGTCATAAATGTGAGCCAGTTGCCAAACATCTGAATTTTGATCACGGGACCCTGGGGAAGCTGCAAACGGTCGTTAAGCGTGCAAAACGGTCATAAGTCACTGCTTTTCATGGCTGTTGTAACTTACTAACTGCAGTGTTTCGCTTAACCAATGTGGCCGGAAAGGTTGCAAAACGGGACAAACCACACTTAACAAATGTCTCACTTAACGAAAGAAATTTTGGCTCAATTGTGGCTGTAAGTCCGGCAAGCGCCCTCCCTCTCCTCGTGTTTCAGACCCCCCCTTTCCTCAGCACCCCCCCACCCGCCCCCCTGCACTACCGGCCGGCGGGTCTCCAGCCCAGAGCCCCCTGGAGCCCCCCCCTTGGAGCCGGGCCGAGAGGAAGCCGTATGCCCCGCCAGCCAGCCGAGTGAGCCGAAACCCCAAAGAGGCCGGATGAGTCAGAGGCTACGAAGGCCGCCCCCCCCTCCTGACCGCACAGGTGCCGGCGGAAGACCGGCTCAGCCGGCTGAGTCACCCGTGGGCACGCTCGCAGGAGCAGGGCAAGGAAGCCGGCTGGAGGGAAGCCGCAGGCAGCTGCTTCTGCTGAAGCTGCAGAAGCTGGTCGGTCGCAAGTGGATGCCCTCGGGCGGGCACCGCGGGAGAACGGAGCTTGCAAGACTGGGCAGCTGCTCTTGATGCAGCTTCAGTGCAAACTAGGATTCGCCCCTGCGCTCGGTTGCAAGTCTGGAAGCGCAATTCTCCCGCCCTCACCCTAAAAAAAGCCCGCTTTGCTGTCTTTAGTGTATGGCAGTGATGGCGAACCTTTTAGAGACCGAGTGCCCAAACTGCAACCCAAAACCCACTTATGCATCGTCGGGTGCCAGGCGGTTTGGCCCATTGGGTGGGTGTGGCCAATTGGGTGGGCGTGGCTGCGGTGGTAACGGCAGACTGGGTGGGACTAAAAAGTTCAATCAATCAATTTCAACTTTGCAAGATCTTTTTTTTCCTGCGAGAAGTTGAAATTGACTGATTGATTGAACCTTTTTTCTTTTTTGCACATGGCAGCAGAGGCCTAAAGCGAAAAGGTTTTATAAAACCCAGCTGAAGGCCCAGGACTGGGGCGACAGCGCATGTGCCCCCAGAGAGGGCTCTGAGTGCCGCCTCTGGCACCCGTGCCATAGGTTCGCCACCAATGGTGTATGGCGTATCATACGTGGACTTGCAACGTATATTAACATTTCGCCTAGATTAAAAACCCAATAAAATACGCATGTTAAGAAGATCTGAAAACTTGAGTTCTGTTTAATGAATTTGAATGAATGAAGGTTTAATATTATTTTGTTATTTTAAAGAGATGGATTGATTGTGGGATTACATACAGTATGTATAGGGTTGATTAATATTTTATTGTTATTAGGATACTTATTGTGCAGTAGTGGAAGAAGAAACAAATGAGATTGGTGATACAATGAGGGATGTGAGAGATTAAGAATTAGAATTGATAATTTGTTGTTTTAAAGTTAAACTATGGTAATTTAAACTGATAAACTTATAAAACAGGTTTAGCAGTAATAGAAATTTAAAATAGAAATGGAATATTTTAAATGTATGATGTTATTCGCGGGAAATAGAGAGGGGATAGTGAAATGTATTGAGTTGAGTTGTTTACATATGTCTTTACTTTTGAATGTTTGACCACCCAAACACCACGGTGGGTCCTGAGTACTTTTTCTTAAGAAATTAAAAAACTAATAAAATGTGTTTAAAAAAAAAAGAAGATCTGACACAATAACGGAGCTGGAAGGGACCTTGGAGGTCTTCTAGTCCAACCCCCTGCTCAAGCAGCAGACCCTGTATCACCCAAGACAAATGGTTGCCCAGTGTTGGAGCACCCACAACTCCCGAAGGCAACTTCTGTTCTACCGATTACATTATCCTCACGGTCGGGAAATTCCTCCTTAGTTCCAGGTTGCTTCTCTCCTTGATTAGTTTCCACCTGTCCTGCCTTCAGGGGCTTTGGAGAACAGGTTGACCCTATACATGGAATCTATATCCAGATACTAATGTCTAAGCCAGGGGTCCCCAACCCCCGGTCTGTGGACCGGTACCGGGCCGCGTCATGCCAGCAACCGGTCCACACAAACAAGCAAAGCCCCATCTGTGGGATGCAGGCAGCACACAAAACCACACCCCCTCTGGTCCGTGGAAAAACCTCTCCCCATGGAACCGGTCCCTGGTGCCCCAAAAGTTGGGGACCTCTGGCCATCTGACCATTGAAGCACAGCATCATTTATTTGAAAAAAAAAACCATCAAATACTGACCCAGTATATGCTCTCAGGTTACAGTTGTCACAATATGATCTACACTTTGACATCTACACTTTGACACCCCCCCACGGTCACACTAAGGGGAGGATGCTATATCCCGTTTATACACTGAATCCCAGCAGACACCATAGGACATGCAAATCCACAGAATACCATAGATTAACAAGAGTTGGAAGGGACCTTGGAGGTCTTCTAGTCCAGCCCCCCTGCTCCTATTCAGCGTTGTCCATTGTTGGAGAGGTAGTTCAAAACCTGGCACCTTGTTGTGTAGGATCATCTATACGTCTTTCTATGTCTGGGCGTTGGGCTTCCCTTTGGGAATCGACGTTAAAGTTGTTGAGCAGATGTTGTGCAAGTGCCAGTGGGGGCTTCCTAGATTCCTACAACCTGCTGACTTCGGGAGGGTCTCTTTCTCCCCCCCCCCCCTTGTGCAGCTGTGCACCCTCTTATCTGGCCATTCCGGAGGCAGCCACAGTTTCCCACACACCACTGCATTCCTCCCTAAAGCAAAAGGCCCTGACTGCAAAAACAAAGGAATGTTCTACTACATTTGCCCTTATCCATCACGGGGAACCTTAGTAAAGCCACACACTTACAATACTGCATCCAGTTTTGGTCACCACATTACAAAAAAGATGTGGAGACTTTGGAAAAAGTGCAGAGAAGAGCAACAAAGTCAATTAAAGGCCTGGTGACAAAAACATATGAAGAACGGTTGCAGGAATTGGATGTGTCTGCTTTAATAAAGAGAAGGACGAGGGGGGACATGATAGCAGCCTTCCAATATCTGAGGGGCTGCCACTAATAATAATAATAATAATAATAATAATAATAATAATAATAATAATAATAATAATAATAATAATAATAATGACGTGGCAGTGCCTGGAGACAGCAGAAGAGAAGAGAAAGAACTGGAGAAGATCACAAAATACAAAGACCTACAAATAGAAATAGAAAGACTGTGGCAAAAGCAAGCAAGGGTAGTACCAACAGTCATAGGCGCCTTGGGTGCAATCCCAAAACAACTGGAGCACCACTTGGACACCATCATCGGCATTGACAAATTCGCCATGAGTCAATTGCAAAAGGCAGCCTTACTAGGAACTGCTTCCATCCTGCGACGAGATCTGTAACACCATCAAACATCCACATCTGCCTATCCCAGGTCCTGGGTAAGGACTCGATAGGTAGACAAAATGCCCAATCCAGTCTGAACATCTGGCTGACTGTGCGATGATCCATAATAATAATAATAATAATAATAAAGTTGGAAGGTCATCTAGTCCAATCCCCTCAGGTAGGAAACCCTATACCGGTGGTGGCGAACCTATGGCACAGGTGCCAGAGGCGGCATTTAGAGCCCTCTCTGTGGGCACACACACCTTCTCCCCAGCCCTGCCTCCTCCCATGGCCCCCTCCTCAACAGCAGCCCCCCCCAGAGGAGAGTCGCCCTTGGGCACGGCCCACGCGAAGCAGCGCAGCCAAGGAAGGACATGGCAGCCAGGCAGCGTGGACAAGACTCTGCCCTTGCATCCCGTCGCACGCAGATGCTGCTGCGGGGCATGGGCAGTGGACGTGGCCACCATGGCGCAACTGGGCTGCCTGGGTGATCTGTGGCGGGCAGTGGAGGTGGATGGCCCAGTGGGCAGGGCGGAGCGGGGACGGGGGTGGGGTGGTGGTTTTTGGGCACTCAGTCTCTAAAAGGTTTGCCACCACTGCCCTATACCATGTCAGACAAATGGCTGTCCAATCTCTTCTTAAAAACCTCCAGTATTGGAGCATTCACCGCTTCTGGAGGCAGGTGGTTCCGCTGGTTAATTGTTCTCACTGTCAGGAAGTTTCTCCTTAGTTCCAGGTTGCTTCTCTCCTTGGTTAGTTTCCATCCATTGCTTCTTGTCCTGCCTTCAGGCGCTTTGGAGAATAGCTTGAGTCCCTCTTTTTTGGGGCAGACCCTGAGATACTGGAAGGCTGCTATCATGACCCCCCTCGTCCTTCTCTTCACTAGACTAGCTATGCCCAGTTCTTGCAACCCTTCTTCAATCAGAATAGAACTGGAAGGTGCCTTGGATGTCATCTAGTCCAACCCCCTGCTCAGTATGGGAACCCTATACCATTTCAGACAAATAGCTGTCCAGTCTCTTCTTAAAGACTTCCAGTGTTGGAGCATTCACCGCTTCTGGAGGCAGGTGGTTCCATTGGTTAATTGTCCTCACTGTCAGGAAGTTTCTCCTTAGTTCTAAGTTGCTTCTCTCCTTGATCAGTTCCCATCCGTTGCTTCTCGTCCTGCCTTCTTCAGGCATCTTGGGAGGGAGTCAAGCCATTCTCCAAAGCCCCTGAAGAAGGCAGGACG